AGACTCTATCAAACAAAAGAATGGTCACTAACGTAATCGTCATTCTCTCTTGCGTCCGCTTAATGGCCAACTGAGTAATCAAGTAACTATAAACCGTTAACGGTCGTAATAGTCGTGTATGTCAAAGAATGGCCTCCAAGAGACACAATGACTTTGATTTCTGCGTGATATCGGCGCGACTATAAGATGGCGATGGGAACTTTTTTTTTGATTGGGATGCATTTAGTTTGTAAATGGAGCATCGTGTGTCACCTGTGCGAATGCCATAATACGATAGCATCGCTGGCGATAAAAAACTCCTGCAGGGTTGAAGAAGGAAATTTCAAAACGTGCTGGCTTGGCAAGGAAATTGCCAGTCGCTGTTGCTACCGGCATTGTCAGATCTGCGATATCTAGAATCCATCTAAATGGGCAACAACGGATCTTGTAGGCGGCTAAAATACAGTATAATCAGTGCTCAGTCAACGGGCTTTATCGGGCCTGTGCTTTTTGGGACTGTGGTTTGAGAAAAAAAAAAAAAAAAAAACGCTTTTCTGTGTTTATCCTATTCTTCCTTATTATTTCAAATAAAATTCAACTAACGATGGTGAGAAGTGCGTCCAACGTTAAGGAGTGCGTACATTTATTGGGCATAATGCAGTTGATGCTTTACACCTTATAACTCTAAGATCGTGTATTTTCATTCACACGATACCTTATACCAAACCGGTATTACTGGTGCTAAATAGAAGTTAGCATTGAAAGGTTCTAAAACAATGAAGCGTTACCGTTTTTCTTCGAGCTCCACACACCTTCACATAACAGACACTTCGAATAGGAAATTGATTTTTCGATTAACTGCGTTCTTATTCAAAAGAGAACACAATCGCTTTAAATATCAGAAAGCGATTCAATGAGCCAATAAAAACAACATGTTTTAAACATTGACCGTGCAATTTAATGACAACAAATAATATTTTAGAAGACACACTTAAAAAAAAGTCGAGCTTCACGAAATTAGTGGTATCTCTATCACAGTGAAATGTCTACGGTCTAATGGAACGGTGTAAGACTATCGTGGGATTCTTATGAAATGTTTACACCACTTCTTGTCAGTCTCCATCAGTTCACACTGCATCGAAGAATAGGATGGAAGACGCCCTATGCGCCTTGCTCGGTGTTCCATTGGACGCCCTCTGGGTGAAGGGTTCGGCCCTCTTTAAAAGTACAGAGCGGAAAAGGTTCGATCTGTGTGCAGCAGTCTTAATGCCATTCGGTTAAAACTATAAACTTGCTTCTCTTTATGTGGGTGCCTCTTTAAATTATCTTGTCTATTCCATACGTGCCTTTGTAACAATAAAAATTGATGGTATTGCCCATCAACTTTTATTGTCAAAGTTAATAGATATAAACAATCAAAAAAGCGATTTAGTTTATTTGTGCTTATTGACTTTCAATCAAAGACTCTCAAAACTGACGTCAGCCAATACAACGGGCCCTGAGGGTGAAACGTGGAGTAAGGTAAAGTGAGCAATCGGCTAGACAAAGTGCTCATCGAATCATCGAAGTAAAGTAAAACGCTGTACACATTTCAAATCTGTCTGTCAAATCAAGTCTGTGGATTAGCACTTAATAACACCGTATTTCATCGTATGCAAACGAAAGGCGGCAAGGGAGCTTCCAAGGACAGTAACTAATGCTCCGCTTCCGAGGGTAATATTTGTTATCTACAAACACAAACAATAACACGTTACTATTCTCGTATAACTATTTATTTTTTTCAATGTTATTCAGCTAAAATAAATAGGTATTATTCGCATCTACTTTTGTAAGCTACCGCCAACGGTTTCTCCGTGAGTCGTACACAGTGGCCTGACGCCGCGGAAATATACGACGCACTGACTTAGTTGTATTACTACCAGTCCAGCTGTTTGACTTTGCATCGTCACATGGTTGCACTAAGTTTATTACAGTTAGTATCTATTTACTCTCAGTTATTTAACTTTTATATAGAATCATATAGTGGGCGCAAGCAGGTACCTTATATCACTGCCTTTCGAATCCGTCGGACATTCCCATGTCAAGGTGTTTTTATAAGCCAAGATATTCGAACGAGCACCTGGTAGAGGTCAAGTAGTAAAGGTACACATACTTAATCTGTTAAACATTTAGTCGTTTCTGTCAATCGGGAGACCCCTTCATACATCATGCTTTGCGTTGCAGAAACGTGCGCCCCGTGTGTGTCTCTCACAGCGTTATTTATTTTTAATCAATCTTGATACACCTGTGATAATCCGTAACGGACTTTTCTTTCTGAAAATCGATCTCGAATGTCATGTTTCCTAAATAGATCGACGCTTCAGGCAGCCCGCCATCTGAACTTTCAATTTTCGAATGTTGCATCAAATTTTGATGTATTTTATTATACATAAAAATTTATGCGATTACTAAATTATACGATTTAGTAGGTATTATTTTCGTTGACTATAGCCCTCGATAGTGAACACATCTAATATGCAATCAATCTCTTGGCTTTTCTAGTAATATACGTTTTCAACGATTGTTCTTTCTTGAGACATTGAGTAAGTCTTGTAATATTTGTTAGTTTTAGTGATTATAGATCTATTAGACTGTTATACTTAGCTATAAAGCTGATATTCATTACCCTCAACGGGGTCCAGCCCGATCTCTAAATCGTAGTACATCTAAACGATCATAGCGACATTGGACCTTCAAGTACATCTGTATTGTATCTATGAGCCCATCGTTTGTCTAATGAATGTTTCGTCTACGATTAAATACTGATACTCGTTCTCGTTAGTTGGTAATGCAAATGTATCGTTCCAAGCTCCATGAGCTGTGCAGCGAATTGTGAATGATACGATTGTAGACCGATACCCATCAATAACAGAAAAATCTCCACTACAGCCCTGATGATTAGCAGGGCATTGACCGGGGGTTTTCTATTTTATGGAGGGAAAAGTGAGGAGTTTAGGGCAGCAGAGTCGGACATGTTGCGATCTCGGGCCGAAATGGCCGGAAGTACGGACTATGTACCGAAACAACTAGCTGTTTCGCTACCCAGCGTTCGTATTTTTCACGGCCACAAAGGTCATCTTGGCAGCGACTTTGACAGCGGAAATAAATTATCTTGTAGATAGTAAACATTAAATACAGCGCGACTACTGTGAATAGTAACCGTAAAGAGAATTGTAGCAAAAATGATCAGGGGCATCAGTACTGTATGAACGATTATTTATCTGACTCAATACACGTAACGGTAATTTGAAATGAAGCTCACTCACGTTTTAAGGTGTACATTTCCATCAGCAGGGTAAAGTACGTGAAAACTGACCCATTCTGAATGTGCACAACTTAAGTTACTATTAACTTTCATTGCTAGCTTTAGATACATCACTTTTGGATTCCTCGTAAATGGGCTTTTTGGCTATGCAAACCTAAGAAAAACAAGTAGGAAAATAGCAGCGATTGGGTTAGGTTGAAACGTTTGTTTCTCGGATGGAGAAAAGTATTCCAGCTGTAAGCAGTCTTAGTATACATCTTTAATTATTATTATTATTGACCCTAATATACCCAAGCTTGAAGAACTTGTAGAATGTAGTTCCACACCTGTCACAGTTCTGCTATGTCTTATAAAGCGTTCTTGCCGAGCCCCTTTATGTGTCTATGATTTGATCGTTTATAAATAGATTTCGTTGACCCCTTAAAGGGTTCACTAGTTACATCAGTCTACGATTGGGGTGTTAAGACCTTAGCGCAGAACTACTACTCAATAGCTACAAATTATTACAATGATCCGGAAGAGATCATTATTTCTATAGTCAATTTTTTAAAGTCTTCAATCGAGTTAACCATGGTTTATCAATTAGTAAACTCAGTTTAACTCCGAGACTGACAAAAGAATTGTCCGTTTAATAGTCTCAGCATCTCTTTTGTCTCTCTCATGTTAAATATTTTTTCTTGATATATAAGGAATTCTTCCAATTTGGGGTACAGCATAAGCGTGCACGCAAACATGTATAGTCTGTATGGCAAACACGATTATTGCGCATTATTTTAATGGGCAGTGGATGCCTTGTCTATGCGATATGAGGTCAATTACATAATCATATTTGCCAAAAGTATATGTCTATACGTTCTCACAGGCAGTCAAATGGATTCCATGAATGATTAGTCCTATAGTTCGGTCGGTGAAACGTTTAGGATCTACATTTGCTATCTATATAAAGGATGACGACGTATATATATATATATATATATGCGCAGACAGCCGCGGAATGATCCAAGCCGTAAAATGCGTTGCTGCCGTTGTGATGCTCATTTGATAACTTGTTTTTTCAAATGAGAACTATAGGATTAAGATATTACTGCACAAATATTATGTTTTCGCGCCTAAACAAACAAGTGCCTCTCATGTCTCTCTCTTTAATACTCTCTGAGCCTCTAATAATTCTAGCGTTGTTATTTTTTTTTTTCGCACGTTTTTTCGAAAATGACCCGAGGAACGCCAGTGACATTTTAAAAATAGAAAATACGACTCTATCGACCTGAATGTCCTCCCTTAAAAAAAAACTCTTGTCGATCTCGAATTTTCCCAAAGAAGAATGACGGTAAAGTTCATAAAAACTATCTGATCTATAAATAGCTGGTGTTGGTAGTTGATCAATTATCTTACTACATAAAGTTTTTTGTTCTTCAATGTAGAAGAACAAGATTCCACTATATAGCATTTTTTCTCCTTGCATTGCGTTAGAGGAGCGCACCATAACAGTACCTGTTCTTAACATAGATACATTAAAAGTAAACGGTACGTATAGAAGTCATTGATTTTGCGTTATTGGTACGAGTCGATTATCTAGCCAAAGACACTGCTCAAGTTTAATGCAGTTTAGATATAATTCGATTATAAAACCTGTGTTGCAGAAGATCGGAGCCGCGGTCCGTAGCCCTCTCCCGAAGGCGTGCTATAAAAAGCTGACGATCTGTCGTAACATGCATTAACATATATTGGCTCAACAAACCGTATAATTATGAAGCGCGTCACTGTTCTTGCCTTTGCGGCTCTTCTCTTGGATACGGCATCGACCGGAGGCTTCAGTGGTTACGGGGGCGGTTTCGGGGGTGGACATGGTGGTGCTGTGATTTCGCATGCGAAAGTGGCGAAGGTATCGTACGTGAAGACCCCCATCGTCTCTACACACTACGTGAAGAAGCCCGTCATTTCCTATGTCTCGAAACCCGTTAAGTCGATCTCGTACGTATCAAAGCCCGTAGTTTCGGTCTCTAGCGTTCCTGTCATCTCGCACGGATACGGTGGAGGCTTCGGAGGTGGCTTTGGAGGGGGATATGGAGGGGGACACGGGTGGTGGTAGATAAAATTAAATTACGAAGAAGTGAAAAGACATAATTTCGGTACGATTCAAATCAATACTATGTACAATTGTATACAAATATACCTATAATAAACTGCTGCTGTTATGTTACTGAATTATTCATATATGTAATAGTTTGGTAATGGCACAAGTTTGATCTAGTCACCTAATCATATGGGGATGTCGCATACTGTGTGGATGTTTACTTCTTCTCTCCAGCGATTCTGTAGAAACGTGTGAGAAAAGAGACCAGCGTGTTCCAGGTGTGTTAGAACATTTGATGTCTACCTAGAAAGGCTGTCTAATATCAATTCCATGCTAGTTACCGTACCGATGTTCTCTTAAAAATTACTGAATTGCTCATAAAAATCAACGGTATTATTTTTATCTCCAAATGAAGAAGGTAATCCTTAGCCGTGTATTTATTATGTCGGCAACAAGCAAGGATCTGTGCTAACCTCTTGTAATAAGAACATAGTGTAAGACAGACAGTCTTTAAGAATGAAGCGCATTGAAAAGTTAAGTATTGCTAAATACGGTACATTTCCGCTCTAGTTTACTTAAAATCATATTCAAAATAATTTTTCGACTTTAATTCGCATTGTTTTTGTCTACTTATGCAAGTGAAGTTATTCCGATGTTTTGGTAGTCTTCGAGGACATAATTTACTGGATACTAATTAGGTAAAGGCTGATTCAAGCTCAAGTTGATCCTAAGGTGAACTTGCATTGATGAGGACTTGCTAATTTCTTATTAGATGGTAAACTGCTTACAATTGGACCACCGTATCATAGCGACCCCTTTGGCCACTTAACTTATCAGTCGCCTGATACTGTCCCGTTATTTTGTCGCATTTTTTGTAAATTTTGACAACAAATTCCCCTGTTCAGACAGTCGTTCAGGTAGAAAATTGCGGAAACAATAAGTAACTGAAGAAAGTCTTAAGGTGTTTTTAAGATGATGAACAATGTTTTAAGCAGTTACTTGAGACCAGCACTATGTAGTTTCCCGGAAGGAACTTGCTTTAAGAGATGCCATTGGCAATTCGCCCGTCAATCGTCGTGCATAGTACGATCCTTTCAAACTGAATGTGATTAGATAAAAGCACAGGGAAGACCATAAATCGAGTTGAAACTTTTCTGAAACAGAATAATGGTGATTCTCAGAAAAGGACTTGCATAGAGCTAGCGCTTGTAGTTGATCGGCTGTCTTTATTAAGCTCCTATATCCATGTCACTAAATATAAATGTTCATTCGGAATCTAGTTTCTAGCTCAAACTACCAATGGCGTTAGCTTACGTGTTATTGATAGAGACCTGGTTATCGGTTTAGTAAGAAATTTGTCCAACAGATAGAAGCCGGGAGCCGTAGCCTTCTCCTAACAGCGTGCCCTAAAAAGCAGTTTATGTTGTCACTGCGTCAGCGTTTGTTGACTAAACAAAACACACGATCATCAAGTACGCTTTTATCCTCTTCATCGCAGCTTTCCTTGTTGGTACAGCATCGACCGGAGGTTTCGGGGCTGAATATGATAATGCTGTGATTTCACACGATAAAGTGACGAAGGAGTCGCGCGCTGGGATCGCATTTCTCTACGCACTACATGAAGAAGCTCTTCAGTTTTTATATGAAATCGATCTCGTACGTATCGAAGCCTGTAGTTTCGGTTTCCGGCGTTCCCGTCATTTCGTACGAATACGGAGGAGGTTTTGGAGATAGCCTTGGAGAAGGATATGGAGAAGAACGCGAATCGTGTCTGGTGCAGTTAAATTACGAAGAACCGAACGAGCACCACTTCTGTAAATACTGTGTACAACTGAATATAAATAATGCCTTTAAAAAAATTGTGTTTTAGGTTATTAGAGAATTCTATTTATTTGACCACTATTTTATATGGATAGCAAAAATAACACCACTCACATAGAAACCATGTGCACGCATTGCCGCAAATAATGAGGGAGCATATGAAGCGCTACAAAAACGGCAGATGCGATCGTTGAAACTTCATCTAGCTGCTAATCATTTGCGGTGAACGCGGTGGCATAGGTCTTTCCGTAAATCTCATTCACTTTATAGGTTTCCTTATATCTAGAGGTTTCTGAGGACCTGTAGGACATATATTTGACGTATTAATAGAAATATTAAGAGGGGACTATAACGATCAATTCCGGCGACCGCGACGATACATTAGCTCTGTACTTCGAGGTGCCGTAATGAGACTGTAGAATCCTCATAGGATGGTGATATGCATAAGCTCTTCTGCTAGGGCGACTAAATTGAGCTTCTTTACAGCTAGTTTCGTTGATGCTGCATCGAACGCTTCGTTGAAGTCGATAAGATCAACTTCTAACTAAAAGTACTTTCAATGCATTTAATATTGATCATTTGCCATTGATTGTAGTAGCATTGGATAACTTTTGCATCTTAGGGATTTCACTGAGTACCGTGTTTCTCCATATCCCAGACAGGGCAATCCATTATCTCATGATTTAAAATACTACATGGATAGCAGAAACATAAATATGGGTTTGTCGAAATAAGAAATTTTAATTTTATTAGGGCATGTATCTTGATTTAAAATATATCGATGGGTCGTTTCTGATCCCCAGTCTTGAGTGGGTTTACTGCTGTGTTACCCCACCATGTAATGACGCAGCGATTCTATAATATGTAGTGGTCACCAAAAAAAAGCCATACAGGAAGCACATCTAAATCCGAAGACAATGTCTTGAATATTTGATATGCGAAGATTTTTTGATCACCTCATGGGTTTCCTGCAGATAACGCCTCTTTTTTTTACGCTTTACTAGCAAATTATCAATTAGTTGTCGGGGGGAAGGGGGGGCCTCGTAGACGATAAGGCTATTTAAATGACAGTACAAAAAAGCACGACTCACGAGGAATTACCAAGCAAATATAGAGAACCGTTTGTCTGCTCAACATTTTTCGAGAATAGAATGACAACAACTTTGGTTAAAGCTATTTAAGATAAAGCTAGGTCTCGCCTCTGGCTGATTAGTTACTTCTAGTGACCTGTGAAGACCATCCAGTTGTGAAAGTGTGTCTAAAGGGCCAAAAATACGTAATATTTTGGTAAACACAAATAGAAGTCCTAACGTGAGGACCGGATGGAATGTCACACTCCCCGGCTGATGAAAACAAACAATTATCAGAAATTACGTGAATTCCTCAGTTATGTCATGATTTCCTTTCGGTCCCATTGAAAAATAGCGCAATCATTTCTAAAGAAGCTTACGCATCAATTGTGTAACATCAATATGAGTGTTATTTACCAGCTAGCATTACTTTTAGCATAGACATATTGGGATCGCATCACGTAGTTATCGCACGGTTTGTCCAGAAGATCGAAGCCGCGATTTGTTGTCCTCTCCCAGAGGCGTGTTATAAAAGGCTGGCAGTCTGTCGCTATTTGTATAAACATTTATTGGTTCCACAAACCGTCAATAATGAAGTGCGTTGCTATCTATGCCATTGCGGCTCTTCTTGTTGGTGCGGCATCGGCCGGCGGCTTTGGAGGTTACGGAGGCGATTTCGGTGGAGGATATGGTGGTTGGCATGATAACGTTGTAGTCTCGCATGCTAAAGTGGCGAAGGTCTCGTACGTAAAAACCCCCATTGTCTCTACGCACTATGTGAAGAAGCCCGTCGTTTCCTATGTCTCGAAACCCGTTAAGTCCATCTCGTACGTGTCGAAGCCTGTAGTTTCGGTCTCTAGCGTTCCCGTTATCTCGCACGGATACGGTGGAGGTTTCGGAGGTGGTTTTGGGGGAGGATATGGAGGGGGGCACGGGTGGTGGTAGATAAAATTAAATTGTGAAGAACCGAAATCTCTGTAGAATTCAAGTCAATACTATGTACAATTGTATACAAATAATGTTTATAATAAACTACTGCTTTAATGTTAGACTGCGAATTTTATTTATTATAGGGAAAAGAAAAGCAATATTATTTACTGAGGAGCTATACGAAAAAACCACTACAGATCACACGAAGCACGTTAAACACTACAAACAGGGCAAAGATAGTCATTGCAAAACTGTAGTCTATCAAAATTCAGCAATGAAACGCATACGTTCTAAAATAGTATATGACGGATTCACAGATTTTCGAGGGGCTGATGATTTCAGTTTATTGACGAAGGCAGCCCGGCATTGTTGGAAGGCAGCAAAAATAATACGGATAGATTCTTCTGGCAGGTCGGCCAAATTGACACTCAACTGTCGCCATATTCTATCGAACACTGTTTCGAAGTAGGTACAATACTCAATTTTTAACCTGATGGAATGTACTTCACACAGTCGTTCGGGTCATCATCTTCTGAAAAAGACTAATGATTCCAGGCATGCTTCATCAGGCCTGATTATGGCTATTTGTTCGTAAATCGGACTTCTATTTACTTGGCGCCTTTGTCAAAAACCTATGTAAGGCCAGTCGACTATTCAAGGCTTTACTATTTCACACGAAAGGCAAGATCGTGACAATGGACCACTTAAAGTTTTAATTTTATTATTAGCCAGGGAAAGCGGCTAAGCCCAAACCCACGTTTTGGATTTTCCGTTGTCAGGTGATGGTTCCTATGCGGTTTCCCTAGCGCGTAATCACGTCGTGGGTGCCAAGCAGAAACTGTATTGGAATCAGAAAATCTGCTTCTGAAATAGGCTTTATGCAGAGTAGCCTTTATACGCTGTGCAAAAGTTTGTCGGTCATCCCTTGAACTAGCCTATAGGGATAATTTCTGTCTCAGCGAGAACCTTTCTCGGTTATTGAGATAACAGTGAAAAGAACGCATGACCTACGAAGGATGTGCACCATATAAAATGTGGACAACAGCTTGTCTACATAGATGTTTTCCTCAACAGTATGGCGGTGATACCCATCGGAAGTGTTGCGTCTAAAATCGCTTGTTGTCGGTACCTGGTTGGCTAATTTTAGAGAGCTATAAAAATCAAGATGGATCCATACTGCGCAAAAAAATCCACGTTTTGTAGAATAATACATTTTAATATATAATTTAACAAATAATACTAAAATTTACTCATTAACTGTTTATTATTACCACGAGTGCTACTCACTAGTTAGCATTATGTTTCACATAAGCGTCAGTTGTCGCACGATTAGTTTAGAAGTTCGAACTTGCAGTTCGTACCTTTTTCCGAAGGACCACTATACAATGGTGACAACTTGTTGCCACCATTTGTTTACTGGACAAAACCGTTGCAGTTCTTCTCGTTCGAAAGGAACAGATTGAAGGTTTTTGTCGTTACGGTGGAAATTTCGGTGGTGGATATAATGCTCGGTGTGGCAATGCTGTCATTTCACATGCTAAAGTGGCGAATATGTCCTACCGTGACACACTAGGTGAAGCTCGTTGTTTTCTATGTCTGAAAATACATTACTCAACCTCTTACGCATCTAAATTCATGGTTTCGTTCCCTAGCGTTCTGTCGTTTCTCAAGGATACGGAGGTGGCTTCATAGGGGACTACGGAACGCGGTGAGTGGAATTGGATTGAAACGATCACCTCTGCAGAATTCCAGCCAATGCTACATACAACTATATATAAGTAAATCTACTTATATCCACTATCATTTTACATTACGAAATGCTATCTATTTGACTTATATATATATATATATATATATATATATATATATATATATGAACGGGCTGCCACCTAACCATTTTCTGATTTAGTCAGTCTCAGTCAACTGCTCAAGTTTGCTGATTATAACCAAATCTGAGTTTTGTTTTTACCTGTGTACTGGCCGCAAAATGTCACCTCGGATACAAAGCGAAGGGGCTGTATTGAGCATACAGCACTGCGAATGCTACCTAACGCGTGGAGTACTATGAAAATGACAAAGCTTAACTACTACCAGTTTTGTTGTGCGAACCATAAAGTGACCACTCAGTATTGAAGCTCGTACACGACAGCCTGGCCTTCCTTTATGGGTGCGCGGTCACCGAGGTGCTTGTATCAATGAGTGCAAGGTTTAAGTCAACCTGCCTCGATATACCTCACAGCTAATCCTTCCAAAAGCAAAAGTACAGAACACCGAATCGATACCGTTTTAAATTTGTCCACAAAATACGCTTGAACAATGTTCTATTGTTCTTAGACATAGCACTTACACGTCAACAAACACCTCGTCACATGAACGTCTCGTGAACATCATTTGTGAAGCTTATTAAAGTTTAGTTATAATCTTGTGGCTCTGTGTTATTTTCGGAGTAGTCGATCCTTTAGCATTCTTCAGGTGGCAAGAGCCGGGACTTGAGAAGAATTCGTTTCTCTGTAAAATGGCTGGATAGTGTTATTAAGTTGACATTTAAACTGAAAATTATAACAAAGGTTATCTAGAACAATGTTATTAACTAATTCTGGGAAGTGTGTGAAATTACTTTTAATTATGTCTGCCAAAAGCAAAGAAGCCAACACGGTCTTTTGTTGTCAAATGAGTGATGTTGACATGACTCGGCAACTTTAATAGTTGTTGCAAATGCGGCATTTCAAGAACACCACCGAAAGCCTGAGGAGCGTCTTGATAAGTTACGAGCCAGGTAACTTTCAGTGCTCATACTATACAGCTAGCTATTATTTACAAGCTATCGTTTGGTCCTCACGAAAAACAAGAAAACAAAAAACTTTGTTTGTTAAAGTTCTTTTTTTCTTGCATTATACCTTACGGACGAAAGTTGTCTTTCTAAAAAGACAACTTTTGTCCGTTTGGTTCAATGCGAAAACCTATACAATCGGCATTACGTCAATGTTTCATGTCTACATGTCGATATTGTTTCAAAAGACGCTTGGTTGGGCAACAGACCTAGCAAAACTTCCCATAAGAGCCATAAGAACAGAACCCTACTATTGACATAATAGTCTTATTTCTATGTAATATTGAAATACTGTAAGTAATAATAGCAAATACACCTGAATGAAAATCGTGTTTGTCGTTGGTTTACCTGTATTTTATTTGTATTAAGCGACCGCACAATTCGGTTTGCGTACATTGTCATATCGCGAAAAGCCTGAACCAATGGGTGTTCACACAGACACAACCCTTTTTTTTAAAAAAGTTTTTGTTAATTACTGTTGTTGCAATATGTTACAGTTATTTTCAGACAGGTACATAGCGCAAGTGGCCACGTCCAATTGGTATACGTGTAGTCTTTTAAAGTAATTAACGAATTTTTCGCCTCAGCAGATCGTCGGTTACTATACTACAATTGATGATTTTGATTTTCGTTTTTTTTTAGGAACTCTTCGGTCTTTTTTATGTATAATAAAGGTATAATCAAATGATTCAAAAATAGGCGGTCATTGCGGGAAGCTTCACGAAATCTTGGAAGAAAAAGGCACATGTAAATAGGTGAACATTCGAAACTACTGGCTAGTAGCAAGGAGCTTTAAGTGAGCAATGTGGATATAAGGAAAATATCGACGTAGGAGGCTCTATCAATCTGTAGTTTAGCGTAATAAAGGCTACGAGATATTGGCAAGATTTTGCAGATTGAAAATGAAATTCCAAGCTTGAAGATTGCACTCTGAGGTTCGCAAAGGTGGACTTACTCTGAACTACGTTGTTACTGCAGGAACAAATGCGCATGTAAAGCTAAAAATCAGTTTGCGATCAAACCTGTAACATTTTATAGTGTTTTTGTTCGGATACAGCAGAATAATGTACCAGCTTTTCTGATCTTTCCATCTTGAATTCAGCGGCAATACCCCTTACACTTATTACGTGGAACTGCCTGCCGTCAACATACCTTCATCCGTCATCTCCGTCGTCCGAACTCCATCATCTCGACCGTTCGATCCGTCACTGTGTGTTCATTAAAATAACCTGCAATGTATGCAAAACTATACACTTAACTCTTAATCAGATAGTTGACGCTATGAAAAAAAAGCAGCAGCAAAAAGAGTTGTTTCAAATTCAACGCGACGCCACGCGCGTTAACATAGATGCTTGGTTCAGGCTTGTTCCTGTTGCCATCATGAAGTATATTTTCTTGCATTAGCTGTTGGACCTCTCCAATTTATCTAAGGTAATTAACTGAGGTGAGACAAATAGGAGGGATGATAAAATACTGCACAATTCAGTATTCGGTATTCGGTTTGTTGTTATATGATGGTAGACAAGAAATCAACAGCCTTGAAGTAATGTGAAGTCCAAAAAATCTTATTATCGTGTTAAACAATTAACCGACCGAATTAAAACTTAATTGCCATAGAACTAGAGCACGATTAGTGTCTTTTCCCAGCGATCTAATAGATCTATTTGGCCTGTGCCTATATCTGTATATTTGAAAGGCTCGATATGAAGAAGTAAATGTACGATAATTTTGTCTTTAGGCTGATTTCAAAGCTTTATGAGGTTAGAATTCTGTTGCAAATTTATAAAAAAAAAAACTTTTGCTCTCTCAGCTCGTGCTGTACCATTTATCGTGCACTGTGTGAACACGATAAGCGTATGAGGACATTCTACATGCAGCCAGAACTATCACTTTCTAAATAAAGCAGGCTTTGCGTTTATATATGATCTATTATTTTTCTCGTTAGAAGCTCTGCGTCTGTGCCTGTGTGAATCTGTGCCTAAAATTAGAACAACTAAGGCACACGACTCCACTGCCTTTTACCCACATAATGTTACAGTTGGGCTTAGAGGTTACAGATTTATGACCCACCGCCACCTCCTCGATATTCCACTTACATGACAAGCTTATATCGTATTGCATCTGATGATCTCTAAATGAAAGGTAGCGTAAAATAATTCGAACTAAAATCGATTCATGATAATTTGCATTTCGGTTATCCTTCAATGAGATAATAACCAAGCTGGCCTTCCAAACCTTACCTAGCCATGAGCGAGGCGTACGCGCTTCGGAGTTCGTCGGAACCTTATTTACAA